TGCCGTACTATAATGGGGACCTAAACAGGGACCCTAATTCAGAGAACTACTCATGCTACTCCGCCCCAAACCTTAAAAACCCCAGGCCTGAAGCCCTAGTATAGGGGCCTCAATAATGACATATATCATTTTGGGGGGTTCCTGATTATGCCCTTATGATAATTATAGTAGAATATAGGGGCCTCAATAATTACCTATATCATTATGGGGGTTCCTTAGTATAAATTATAGTAGAATATACACCAAAGCCCTATTCTGTTTCTTAAGGCCCCGGCATGAGTCATAATGGGAATCTGTACCTTTCAGCCCTAAAGCTCAGGCATATCGGGGGATCCTTAAAGTTGCTTTTTTGGGGGAGTTGGTGGGTGAGATTGCGGCCCAGAGCCTCACCAAACCCCAGACCCAAAACCCCTAAAAGCCGCTGAAACACCCGTCATAGCTCTGGGTATAGGGTTTTAGGGTTTTAGGGTTTTAGGGTGGCTCCTTTAATTTAAAAACCCTATCAAGAACAGCTGAAAACATCCCTCTGGGCCTGGCGCAAAGTGAACAACACCGAGGCAATGCCAGCAAGGCCTCGCAGGCGCAGGAGCCACGGGCTTGGGGTAGGAGCTTAGCACTTGTTTTGCGGTTTAGGGGTTTAGGGTTTAGGGTTTAGGATTTAGGGTTTAGAGCTTAGCACTTCTTTTGCGGTTTAGGGGTTTTAGGTTTACATAGGGTTTAGGGCCCTAGGTTCTTTAATCCCCAAACCATTATTCAGGTCTTATGGTTGACGCCAAATTTCCCGGATCGGATCTTGTGCAAAGGCAGGGCAGCGTTTTGGGGGGCTTTAGTGGTCTTCCGTGTCCGGCATTTGTGAGTGGGGCTTGGGGTTCAGGGTTTAAAGGTTCGGGGTCTAATATAGGGGCCTATATAATTACCAATACTAGTTTGGGGGGGTCCTTGTTATAGGTGTAGTATAATATATTAAGGCCCTATATTGGGGGATTGGGGGTTTGGGCTTTAGTGTCTAGGGCTTTGGGAGCAGTGGCTTCAGGGCGTGAAGATTCGCAGTTTCCGGGGTTTTAGGATTCGGGGTTCGGGGTTCAGGGGTTTGGGGGGTGGGGCTCAGAGTTTCGATGGCTTGCTCTTCGGGGTTTCGGGGTTTGAGGATTTTGGGCCAAGCTTGCGGGATCAATTTTGAGAGCCTGAGTCTCTAAACCCTAAGCCCTAAACCCTAAACCCTAAACCCTAAACCCTAAACCCCTAAACCCTAAACCCCTAAACTCGAAACCCTAAACAAGGGGCCCTTAAGAAGGGACCGGTGTTTGGGGACAGGGTTTGGGGGCTTCGAGGGTTCATGGTTTGGAGGTCTAGGGTTCCATGTGACCTTCCATGTGACCCATTCATATGGCTAGTTCTCTAAATGAGGGTCGCTTTTAGGGTTTAGAGTTTCTAGCTTAGGGTTTAGGGTTAAGGGTTTAATAGGGTTGCCTACCCCCACGTTGTGGTTGCAATACTACCAGAACTACAACCTGCGATGGACTGCTTCATCAGGAGCCTGGTCGCGTTTGTCTCGCTGACTTCTGCGAGATCTTTGGGGTGGCCTGGCGGCGTTGTGCGGTGTATGGTTTAGGGTGGACGCGGTGTTCAGGATTGAGGGTCTAGGGTTTGATGGTTTAGAGTCCAGGGTTTAGGGCTTACGGTTCAGGGTGTGAGGTTCAACAAGATTTTCCACGGGCTGCTCACGGGTTTAGAGTTTGTGTTTGCAGCTCTCCTGCTCCAGCATCGCAAAACCCCAAACCCTGGAATTGGTGACTCTGGTGGCAATCAAAACCTAAAACCTAAACCCTGAACCCTAAACCAAAACCCTAAACCCTAAACCCCTAAACCCCCAAAAACTTCGCAGAGCTACAACCCCAAAAGCTCCACACATCCCTGCAAACCCTGATGCTTAGCCCAAACCTCTACACCGCCCTCTCATAAAACCCGACACCCCCCAAACCCAAATCCCAAACATCCTGAATTCCCCAGTTCCTAATCCTCTGGTAGAAACAGCCTCAGTTCGAAACCCTAAACCTTACCCCCCAATCCCTTAACTCCTTTCTAAAGCCGTCTTTGTGCAAAGAATTCCCGCAAACCCTATAAGCCCATAACTTTCTTTTAGAGCCCTGACTACAGACATCCCCAAAAGCACTGCTGCGAAGGTTTGCCCGCGGGGCGATGCCTTGAGCGAAATGCCCAGCGCCGAGGAGGCGGGGTCGTTGGGGGGGGTTTAGGGTTTAGGGTTTAGGGTTTAGGGTTCAGGGTTTAGGGTTTAGGGTTTAGGGTTTAGGGTTTAGGGGGCGCTCTGGTGTATGTTTATTCAAGCTGCGTGTTTCTTTTGTTGAAGAAAGGGTTCAATATAAACTAGCTAACTTAGCTCTGCTTGAGACATGTGCTATTGCCATTCTGTACATAAATACGAAAAATGAAGATAATACACACATACATATATTTATAGATTTACTAGTATATAGCTAAAAGATACGTACTTACATATGTACATATACATATATGCATGTAAAGAACTACATGGGTGCATAGGTATAAGTGTGAATGATAAACAGTTACATACAGAAGTAAATCATGTATACATGTGCATGTACAAATACATATTAAATATACACACATTCTCACACACACATATGCAGATGTATATATATATATATACACATGTATTTCGGCTTTCTGCTAGTTGGGGTTTTACCTGTGTTGTTGTTTCCGGGTTTGGGGCTCATTGGCTATACACCATACCCGACATCCTAAACCCTAAACCCTAACCTCAAACCCTAAACCCTAAACCTTATAGGTTGAGGTTTTGGTTGAAGGGTTGGCCCTGCACTCTACACTGCGAGAATCCCTAGACTCTTCTACATACTTTTTGTGCAGCCCTCGTATCTTGCGCATCAGGCCTGCATCGGTTTAGGGTTTAGGGTTTAGGCCTGGAGAAGGTTGCTTTTCCACCTACATTTTGCCTACGTGCATAGAAGAAGAATCCCCAACAACGAGGCCTGCGATGCGTCCGCTATGGCTCGCCATAGGAAGCGCTGCGATCAGGCACGTCGAACCGGAGCTGTCGGTGTGTGCTTTTTTGTTTCGCTTGTGTTGTTTCTCTTTCTCACTTTGTTCTGATGTAAGGCCTTGCTATATCACTACTATTGCGGCTGCTGCTATGCATAGTGGCAGTGGTCCTTGTTGAATAAGTCTTGAGCTATCTGTTGTGATGCTCTCATCGTTGTTCCTAGGATTGCATTACTTGTACGGAGCAAAGGCGTAATTACTTCCTGGCTCCCAGCGGTTGTCGGAACACATCAAGCTGAAGCTTCCGATCCGGTAGGACCTTTTCTTCAAGTTTTAGGTTCCGTGGTTTGGGTTTGGGGTTTGTATGGGGTTTTAGGTTGTGTGTGCTGTGGAAGTTCGTGCGAGATACGAACTTCCAGCATTTTGGGATGTGTGGCCCCAAACCCTAAACCCCTAAAGGCTTTAGGGTCCTAGGGTTCAGGGACTTCCCAAAACCCTAAGCCCTATACTCGCTTATCTCGGGCTTGCGTTCGTCGGAAGCCGAGTTCCGGTTCGACATCGAAGGCTGCATTCTGTCGAAGGAATGCAATTCAAGTGATATGGGTAGTTCTCTAAATTAGGGTCCCTTTTGTAGTCCCCAATATAGTGCAGCACCCTGATAAGAAGGACACTAAAAGGGACCCTATTTTAGAGAACTACCCATATGGTAAATCTAACTCATAACAAGAGCCAATGGCCTGAGCGAGCAGTCGTAACGCCCGTCTCAGCCCGACCAAGTTTCTCGATACTGTCAGCTGAAGATCGTTCACTCCAGCATGCTTCGCAGCTGTTTCCCGGTTCGACACAGAGCAAGAAGAAGGATTTCAAGAATTACAGTCTAGAAGTTCCTCCCCAGGACTTCTTATATCTGAATTTCGGATTGTGGGCTACCTTAAACCCTAAACCCTAAACCCCGCAAAGGGGAGCCCCCAAGCAGGCGGTGTCCAAGTGCTTCCCGCCCGGTGCCGCAGACAAGGCGCGCACGGATCTGCAGTTTTCGGGCTGAGGGTGCAAACTCATGGACGACCCAGGGAAAAAGACTACGTCGTATAGTGTTCCCTTGTAATGCTTGTAGCATGAAACAGCATGTATCATAGGTTCAAACTCTCTTCTAGCATTCTAGTACATCAGGCTCCTGTTGCGGGCTTGGCAGTTGCCAGGCTCTGACTGAGCGCTTAGAGGACTCTCTAGAGAGTGGGAAAAAGGCTTCCCGGCCCTCCCTGATGGGTCGTGTCTTCGATGGAGCTGCAACCCTCGACGAGTTTTTGAAGGAGATTGAATCTCCGGCTTAAAACACCCGGTTTAGGGTTTAGGGTTTAGGGTTTCGGGTTTGGGGTTTAGGGTCACGTCGGAAGAGCACTACGACAGCTCAACACCTCCTCCGGAGACGGACCAAAGGCCATCGCGAGAGAGCAGATCCGATGTCTCGGTGGAGAAGCCTCCAACAGAAGCAGTCCTGAACGCTAAACCCTAGACCCTAAACCCTAAACCCTAAACCCCAAAAAGGACAGAATCGAAGAGACTCCAGCACCCCATGAGGCGCAGGAAGAGGCCCCCCCCCGTCTCTCCTAGAGCTGAGCCTTGATGGGCTTCAGCACCCTTCCAAAGCCGCAAGGGCGCCAACCCAAACCGCGGTCTGGAGTTTGGGGTTTAGGGTTCTGAACCCCTAAACCCTAAACCCTAAACCCACCTAAACCCTAAACCCACCTAAACCCTAAACCCACCTAAACCCTAAACCCCCTAACGCCTTAAACCAGCCCTACTTGACCCCAAAGTTTCTTAGCAGATGGCAACGAGCTCAAATACTGATGTCTCGTTGGGTGCTTTGTTCTGCTCCTTAAACCCGAGGCCCTAAACCCCAAACCCGAAACCCTGAAGCCTAATCCGTAGCTGTACCTAGAGCCCTAAACTCTAAACCCTAAACCCTGAAACATAACCCGTAGCTCTACCCTAGGCCCTAAGCCCTAAACCCTAAACCCTGAAACCTAATCCGTAGCTCTCTGCTTCGTTTGGTGCCCTAAACAATAAACCCTAAACCTAAACCCAGTCTTGAAGCCAGATCCTTGCTTCCAAACGGGCTTAGGTGGGGTTCTAAACCCTAAACCCTAAACCGTGAACCCTGAACCCTAAACCCTAAACCGTGAACCCTAAACCCAAAATCGTGAACCCTGAACCCTAAACCCTAAACCCTAAATATTTGGACTTTTGGCCTCAGGGTTTTGAGGGTTTCGGTTTTTAGGGCTTTGTAGGGGCCGTAAACCCGCAACCTCTTTAGGAGTCATGCGGGAGTCATGCGCCTGCTTCCTGAACACGTCCGATCCCAAACTGGCCTTCGACCTTCGATCCGCCCTAAACCCTAAACCCTAAACCCTCTTCCGCCACAAAAACTAACTGAAATCTTCTCGCATGGGGGTTTTTAGAGCTTTGAGTTTTTTGTTTGGGGGGCGGTGCTAGGCCTTGGAGGTTCTTGGGTTTGAGTTGTGGGGCTTTGGGTTTGGGGCTTTGGGCTTCGGGTTGCTAACGTGCAGGTACAGTTTGGATTCTGCCCCCACGCAGTAACAGTTGACTGATGTTTGAAATATAGATATCAGGCTTTTTGTAGTAGCTCCTATTATGGATCTTCGCTGTAGGGGTTCGTGACCCACAGGTGAAGTATGTAGGGACGTTGCCGCATGGCCCAGGACACCCGGCAGAAGTACACTCAGTTCTCACGGCAGTGGTGCCAAGTACCTCGGCGCGCATTGGAAATCCTGTGGGACTCATTCACTCCCCCAAAAAGGTTTTGGTTTTCGACTTTAGAAGTTTAGGGTACGGTTAGGGTTTAGGGTTTAGGGTTTAGGGTTTAGGGTTTAGGGTTTATGGTTTAGGGTTTAGGGTTAGTAATCATCGTATTCCTCAGGGTTCCGAACTATAGCTACACCGTAATACCCCACGGAGAAACCAGGCCCCTCTGCTACTCGTTAGGGTTGCCTATTGTAGCTATCATAATATGCCCCCAAAACGGCCCAACAAACCCTATTCTAATTACTAAGGCCCTATATGGGTAGTTCTCTAAATTAGGGTCCCTTTTAGGGTCCTTCTTATAAGGGTGCCGTACTATATCGGGGACCAAAAAAGGACCCTAATTTAGAGAACTACCCATATTACAGACAAAACCCTAAACCCTAAACCCTATATTACAGACTTCCAGGCGATTTGGAGGCAGCCAAGGTTTTTTTAAGGCTAGAGCCCAAAGAGGGGTTGAGGGTGCTAGGGTTTGAGGGTTTAGGGCTTAGGTTTAGAGTTTAGGGTTCGAGGGTTTAGGATTTAGGGTTTAGGGTGTTAGGATTTAGGGTTTGTTGTTTGAGGGTTCAGGGTTTAGGGTTTGGGGCGTTGGGGTTTTGAGGGTTTAGGGTAGGGTTCAGGGGTGGAGGGTGTTGGGGTTTTAGGGCCTAGGGTTTCCCGGCTTTGGTTGTCAGGGTTTAGGGGTTTGGGGTGTTAGGGATCAAGGGTTCGAAGTTTAAACCTAGCAGTAGGCAGTTGAAGCCCTAAACTCCCAAACCCCTAAACCCTAAATTCAACAAATCCGGTAAGACCTGGACCATAAATCCGGAAACACCAATCCGACAACCGAAAAGCCCCGATCCACAATCCCCCCCCCACGATCCTTACACCCTAAGCCCCAAACTGAAAGGTGCTGGACTGCAGCATCAGGGCGCACCACCAAAAGGCGGTCCGAGCAAGCTTCACCACTTTGCAATCTTCAGGGTTTCAGATCCTGGGGATTCGCGGCCCCGAACTCCCTAGACCCTAAAATGACAACCGGCTCATTTCAGTGGAGCCCACCCTAAGCCCCGAGTCCTAAACTCTCCGAAGACGCAGAGTGCCTTGATCCTTGCGGATTCACTACCCCCAACACCATAGCTCGTAGGATCCTAAGACCCAAGACCCTCAGGAGCACGAGAACTCCTTGGTCTCTACGTCGCCTGTGCTGGCGCTGGTGGCCTTTGCCTGCCTCTCCACCTTTGCGGCCATGGTGGTGCCCGGCACGTTCATGGTAGTGTTAAGGATTTTTGTCGACGTCATTCATGTATATATATATATACACATACACACACACACACACATGCAAGTTGTTCCAGTGGTTCTGGATTTAGGAGCTAGTGTGTGGGGAGTTCAGTGCTGCAATGTTTGTGAACGCATCACAGCTTGCAGCCTTATCCCCAGGTTGCTGTCGGGTTAGGGGCTTATAGCGTTTTGGAATGTGACCCTAAACCCTAAAGGGAACCCTAAGGGTCCAAGTACCTAATAATCATATACTCTCCCAAACATTCACCTAGATAACTACTATCCGCAACCAAAGGTACCTTATTATTGGGTCCTTTGGACCTTTGGGGGACAGGCAGAGGTTGATCTGAAAAGAAGTTGAGATGTCTAGGCTCCCGTCACCCTCTAACGATGTCCTGAACGACACTGCCCAAGGCCTTACAAGCCATAACCCCAAGCGCCCCAAGCGCTAACCCTAAACCCCAAACTCTAAACCCTGGCCCCTGCACCCTGAGACTGCCAGACTCTAAACCCTAGAAACTAACACTTAAGACCAGAAAAGCCCTAGGACTCTTAGCCAAAAAGCGCCAAGCTTAAGCCCAACCCTTGCTTCAGCATTCAAGCAAAAGCCGCTGTTGTGTCGCAGGGCCTAAACCTTCTAAACCCGAAGCCCGCATCTGTGGCACAAAAGGTACCCTCAATTCACCGTGATGGGAAGGTGTACCGGATGACTGCAGGGATCGGCTCAGACGTTTGGTCGTAGTTGCCGCGTCCTCTGTCAGGTCAAAGTGATACATAACCCTAAACCCTAAACCCTGAACGCTAAATCCTAAACCCTAATCTCAAGCTCTATTCTGATTAGTTTGTAGTTTACGCTCCCCCCTTTACCACCTACAGAGCCCCCTGCATCTTCTAGTGGCGTAGGTCGCTCCATGTTATGCATACTCCGAGCTTCTATAGATACTGCACAAATCCAGGTGCTTGTGGCTGGTGGCGACGAATTTTTGCAGCTTCTTTGCAAATCAGGCTGGGCAGAAGATATCAAATCGAACAGTGCAGGTAGTGGTGCTGGATTGTTAGTATCATTCTTAGTACCATTAGTATTACCACTGTTTTTCTTCTTACGACTATCGTTACTATCGTTCTTAAGATAAGTATGTAACTTTTATCGTCATTATCAGTATTACTGTTTCGCCGACGACTACCCCTGCTGCTTTCGTCACTGTCACTACGACTCTTGTAACTCGCATGTTTTGTGTTTGTGCTCTTGCCTCTTCCTTGCTGCAGGGGTTTTGTCCTCGAGCCTGGCATCCCTAAACCCTAAACCCTAAACCCTAAACCGTGTTTGTGCTCTTGCCTCTTCCTTGCTGCAGGGGTTTTGTCCTCGAGCCTGGCAACCCTAAACCCTAAACCCTAAACCCTAAACCCTAAACCCTAAACCGTGTTTGTACTCTTGCCTCTTCCTTGCTGCAGGGGTTTTGTCCTCGAGCCTGGCAAGAAGCTGCATCCAAGCGCGGGACCAGCTGAGAACCACGGCTGGCCTGACCCGCGCCAAAGGCACTTAGGAATGACGGGTTTTCACGGTTTAGGGTTTAGGGTTTAGGGTTTAGGATTTAGGGTTTAGGGTTTAGGGTTTAGGGTTTAGGGTTTAGGGTTTAGGGTTTAGGGTTTAGGGAGAAGTACTATTAGGGGGCTACAGGATTAGCTATACTATTTTGGGGGTTCCCTATTATAATCATAGTATAATGGGGCCAAAAACCCTATTCTAATTATTAAGGCCCCTACACCCTAAACCCTTATAGTAGCCCTTATAGAACCCTTTAAAGGAACCCTTTAAAGGAACCCCCCCCCAGAAAACCCTATTCTAATTATTAAGGCCCCTACATTAGTTTGCAGGTTCAGGATTGGAAGTTGGAAGGGCTTCGCATTGTCTCTGGTGGGACTCGCTCTCGAGAGAGGACGATTACCAACATCGTTCTTTAGGATTCCTCGTTATATTTAAAGTACACTATCCTCCGAAACTTTAGACAAATTTTTAAACCCTAAAACCTTCGCCCCCCCATATTAGATGGTTTTTGTATTTGAAGGAGCCAATTAAGGCCGGGTCTGTCCCAAGCCTAGCTTCCCGTGGCGCGGCCGCAATCACTCGACCGCGCTGCCACGAGAGGGGCACACCATCCAGGGCGTTCGGGGTTCGCTTGGCCACGGTTTTGGGTTAGGGTTTAGGGTGCTATGTCATGTCTCTGATATGGGTGAAGCAACCCTGAATCGAATATGGATACAAGCATAGAGACTCTGAGAGATCCGGATGTATGCAAGTACCAGTATGTAGCAGTTTTAGGGCAGGGTCGGGCGGGTTCGGGAAGTTCTCGGTCCCAGGTTTTTTTTTGGGGTTTCAGAGTTCAGGGTTCGGAGGCCCAAGTTGGGAATTTTGGGGTTCAGGGTTCAGTTTAGGCTTGAGGCCCCTAGACTCCTAGACCCTACATAAGCCGTATGGAGGCTTCTTTCCAGTGTGGCCTAAGTTGCATCTCTCTCGTATCCAGCGTTGTAGGCCACATGCAGCAATGCCCCTGCTCAAGGCCCACAGAGGCACAAAGGGGGGCCACCAGTGGGAGGAAGCAGACAACATGACCTGAACTCGATCCTACAGAGAGAGAGAGAGCGAGAGCGCGAGAGAGAGAGAGAGAGTAAGCGCGACTGACAGCGCGAGAGAGAGAGAGAGGGCGAGCGAGCGAGTGTATGTGGTTGCTTGTTTGTTTCTTTGTTTTTGTTGATGTTCTGTCATGATTTTTGACAGCTACTCGCGGTAACTTCTCTGCCAGCTGTTTAGCATTGCAGGAAGGTTTAGAAAATCGTGCCATGCTTTTCCATCCGAACATCCGTTAGCTCCGTTCGATTGTGCAGACAGTCTAGGGAAATAGCGCAGACCGACGATTGTGTCTGCAGTGCTTTGAATTAGGTATCCATGCTCCTCCCAACTGACTGTACCAATTAATTCGCCATCGTTTTGTGCATCTTCGCTTTCGCTGCCCACCATACGAGGGGGCAGCGTTGGACCGTGTGTTCACCTTAGAACTATTTGCTGAACCTAGCCTATCGCTCTGTTCATCTCCCTTTTGTTGCTAAGTTACCCTAAACCCTAAACCCTAAACCCTAAACCCTGAACCCTAAATCCTAAACCCTGAACCCTGAAGCCTAAACCCTAAACCCTGAACCCCTAAACCCCTGGGCTGGCAAAGCCCGAATCGCGTCAAGTGGAAGTCTTCAGACGACTTGGACCCCTGAATCCTCGCGCCTCCAAAGAGCCTGACACCCTACCCATAGGCCCTAAAGTAGTCCCTTTTTGGGGTTCATATATAGAATCCTTAAGGTAACCCCAAAAAGGAACTACTATGGGGCCTATGGGTGGAACCTAAACCCTAAACCCTAGCCCCTTAGTGTTTAGGCCTTGAGATCATGTCCCGGGAAGGCTGCAAGACATCTTTGCGTGTGCTTTCCCAAAGCTCTGACAAGATGGGAAGTCCCTATGTGATCATGGTTTAGGGTTAGGGTTTAGGGCTACAGCAACGGGTCTTTTCAGCGCTTCTTCTTTTTGCCACGGTGGCTTCTGCTGCGACATATTCCTCTGATGCTCTATTGATCGTCTTTTTCCTGGATAATCCAGATAAGCAGCATGCCCAGTGTTTAGACGTGCAAGCATGGCTTTTCGAATTTTTGTAACGACGCCTTGGCATGTGATTGCAACTACCGCAGCGAGGCGAACCGAGGAAGGAGCTTCCCATCGAATCTCAATCTTCAACTTCAACGTGCCAAGATGATGCAAAAGAGCTAGTGGTTGCGGCCTGTTGTTGGAAGGTGTTGGCGTGCCTTGCAGGGAACCCTCAACCGAAAAACCTAACCCTAAACCTTGGGCTAAGGAGTTATAAATGACGATTCATGGTGAAGGGGTGGAAAGGAAAGAAGGAATCGGCTCGCCTACCTACCCTAAAGCTATAAACCCGACGTAATGTTGTGGGGCTGCTTGGTTGAGTCGGCTGTAACCCTAAACCCCTAAACCCGGAACCCGAAACCGTAAACCCTGTTTCAGGACCCTCCCGGGTGGCTGCGTCCGCCATGGACGAGAATGACGTCGGTGCCCGGGGATCGGTGTAGCTCGGAACATCGCAGAGACTTTAGGGTTTGGGGTTTAGGGTTTAGGCTTTAGGGTTTAGGGTTCAACGGCTGCCGAATAATGGAGCTTGCATCGGCTTCTCTCGGATGCTTGATGCAGAGTTGGGTGTGCTGTGCTTCAACTTGTTGCTAGGTTTTGTGGTGCTTCTTAAGATGAAGCGTGTGGAAGATAAGTTTGTTTGAACGAGGCCACCAAGAAAGCCAGAATTTCAGAAAGTCACTGGGCACACGACGCAGGACAATACAAGCAACCCTCCCAAGAACCAATAACCTCACACACGGAACCTAGGATCCTAAACCCCAATCCCTGCATTGCTGTGCAGGGAAAATGTTCCACGGCTCAGTGGAGGGGAACATGTTCCTTTAAGTATACTACTTAGGAGCCCAGTAGGTAAACTTTAAACTGTTTGGTACATTATACGCCCTACTAAAAGAAAAGTTTAAACTTTTTTGGGCCAGGGTACTGGGCTTCAAGGACTATAGAGGCCCCAATAATTGCGAGTATCATTCCTTCGTCTTCCATGGTATAAGTACACCATATTTGACCACCGAAACCCTATTCCAATCATTACGGCCCCTGAATTACAGGTATCCTCAGGTTCCTCCTTTCGATTTATATGCGATTGCTCCTCGAGCTTTCGGAAGTTCCGGCGCGAAGCTCCAAGCTAGGATCCTATTTCTATGCCCGTAAACTGTCGAAATAAGCCCATGGGCAGCCTGTTCAAATACCCCGTATCGATTCCGAAGTTATGCAGGGCGGCATGCATCATTCCAGTCTAAAGCTTCCAAGGCCCATGAATCGCACATCTATATCTTTAGAGGGTCGGGAGGCTTATGTAATAAGTAGGTAATACGCAGGAGTCCTAAGTACCCCCAAAACAGGATCCTAACTGGGGCTATGATACTTATGTCTCTAGAAACTAACTACTTTACTAAGGCTCCCGACCCTGCAAGTGTAACCCTGCGGTGCCTTAGACTCACACATGCACCCAACACACCATTCCCCACAAGCTAACCAAACCTACAGGTGACAAGTCAAAGAGCAGAAAACAGAAGCCCCAAAAGTCTTATAGTAACCCCCCCCCCCGAAAGTTGGATTTCCAACTTTTGGGCTTCTCCCCTCCAAACCCACACCTGAGACTCCTCGACTCCCCCAAAAACAAAGAAAGGCAAGGATCCCTTACTGGAATCCTTCAAGTAAGCCTTCAAGGGACGCCATCCCCGAAACCCCTAAACCCGAGACCCCTAAACCCGAGACCCCTAAACCCCAAGCCCGAAACCCCAAACTCTAAACCCTTCTAGTATCCCTTTAGAGTCTTTAGAGTAAAACTTAAAAGAACCCTCTAAAGAACCCTAAATATCCATAGAGGAACCATAAGAACCCCCTGAAAGAAGCCCCAAACCCTAAACTTCCTAAACCCTAAACTTCCTAAACCCTAAACCCCTGAAGGAACCCCAAACCCTAAACCCTCAACCCTAAACCCTCAACCCTCAACCCTAAACCGAAAGCCCCGCAGGTGGGAACCTCAAAGCCAAGATCCAGCCCCGGCGGCCGGGGGAGACGATCAAGGCCCGAGCAATTTCAGAAGAAGGGGCCTTGATGACTTTTCCATTTATATTAGGGGTTCCTTATTATCCTTATTATTGTTGTGATGGGTCCAGGGTGGCTTTTGTTCTGTTTTCTAGGTTTGGATCTACGTTTTCCCCAGACCCTGAAGCCCTGAACCCTAGCCTGAGGCCCGCAATCCCGGACAACCCGAAACTCTAAAAACCGGTTCAACCCAAATCCAAAGCCTTGATAACTACCTATACTATTTTGGGGGTTCCTTATTATTGTTATTATGATGAATGTTATTATGATTAGTTCAACATTGAGATTTCGCTGCTGCACGGTTCTGTGTTTGTATGCAGATGGGATATGGCCTTCTGTATCTCCGTACTTGGCATGTACGAACCTTTTTAGACCCAAGACCCGAAACTGCCAACCCAAAACTCTTGAACGCTCCAATGGATCCTCATGTAGAATGTAGAAGAAGCACCAGCAGCCAAAGCATGTTTTCCCTACTCTAGACCCCAAGCTTTCAAAAGAACCCGCCTTAAAGCCCAAAAAAACCTAAAGCCTAAAGCCTAAAGCCAAACCCTAAACCCTACAGCCTACGTGTTCGAAAGGTTGCCGAAACCGTCTTGAGGCGCCAGAAGCTCAGACCGGAGGCTTGCAGGCCTTTTTGCTAACACATTTACTTGATGCTTGGACCTGTGTGTTCCTTAGAAACCATCTTGCATCAAGGTTTCATATACAAACCCCAGGGGCCATTATTGTATTTTGAAGGGGTTATAACAATGTCCCTGAAACTACGATAATCTCAAGGCCATGTGGTGGCCTTACGTAACCCCAGCCTTTCCAGTAGCCGCTGAATCTTGGGGTTCATGCTTTGACGCTTTCATGGGTCTGCAGCAGCAGGATTCTACATGTAGTTTGCAGTTTTACTTGCGGTTTTAAGGAGGGCTTAGGGTTTAGGGTTTAGGGTTTAGGGTTTAGGTTACGGCTCGCAGTTGTGAGAGTTTGGGACAAATCCGCACAGCTCGAAACTCCGCTAGAATGCGCGTTCACACAACCCAGAGTCTTAAACCCGAAGCCCTCGGGGTTTAGGGGTTAGGGTTTAAGGGTTTAGGGGTTTGGGGTTTAGGGGTTAGGGTTTAAGGGTTTAGGGGTTTGGGGTTTAGGGATTAGGGTTTAGGGTTGGGGGTTTAGGGTTTAGGGTTATAACCCTACTTAAAGGATCAGGGGACTTAGTATGTAGGGTTATAAGTACCCTAAATAATGTTGTAAGTAGATATAACCATAGTTACCTTGCTTATATCCCTACTTACTAAGTCCCATGATCCTCCAAGTACGACATCTAAAGCCCCACAACCCAAAGCCTGCAGAAGTCCCAAAGCCCCCAATCGAACAAACCTAAAGCCTGAAACCGGCCCACACTGCCTTGGACTCCCAAACTCTGCAACCCCAATTTCCTGAAAGCACCTCTTAAAGTCCCATTAAATTCCACCCTATCACCCTCCAGAAAATGAACGGGCCTAAATCTATCATTGACTAAAAACAAACGTGTGTGTGTGTGTGCGTATATATATATATATATGCGTATATGTACACGCACAGAAATCTGCACATCATATATATAGACCATCTGCACAACCCTCCTTAAAAGCTTAAGCCCCAAACGAGAGCCCTACACCCTAAACCCTAAACCCTAAGCCCTAAACCCTAAGCCCTAAGCCCTAAGCCCTAAGCCCTAAGCCCTAAACGAGAGCCCTCGCAAAGCCCCCCAGGACGGGACCGAAACCTCAAAGCCCAAGCGAAGCGCGCGGAGCAAATTCAGCAGCCCGGGGGCCCAGGGAAGGGTCTAGGGTTTAGGGTTTAGGGTTTAGGGTGTAGGGTGTAGGGTTTAGGGTTTAGGGTTTAGGGTTTAGGGTTTAGGGTTTAGGGGTTTAGGGTTTAGGGTTAATGTACTGCGAATCCCAGAAAGTTGGAACATGGGGCTTAGGAGGATTAGTGCTAGGATCCCTCATACTTTACCTTATGGGCATGAGGATAATCATGTTCCAACTTTCTGGCTTCTACTATGGAATACTCAGGGTGTAGGGTTTAGGGGTGAAGGGCCTAAATAATCACCTCTATTAGTCCTCAGGGTTCCCTACGGTTCTTATAGTATTAAGGAGCCCAAAACCCTATTCTAATTCTTAAGGCTCCTACATCAGGGCATAAAGAGGGATGGGGGTGTAGTAGGGTATAGCGTTTAGGTTGTGCGGGTAGGGCATAATGTAGGAGCCCTGGGTCCGTGTTAGAGTTCTTTATATGGGTGGTTGTCAAAATTAGGGTCCCTTTTTGGGTCCTTATTATAATACGGCACCTATTATTTAGGGTACCTCAAAAGGGACCCTAATTTTGACAACCACCCATATGTCTCCTTAGAGTTTGGAGTTATCGGGCCAGGGTTTGTTGCTCAGGTTCCTACATCAGTCTCAGGGGGTTTTGGCCGTAGGGTGAAAGTGTGGGCTGCAGGGTTCAGGGTTTAAAGGCTCGTGCAGACCGCGTAAACTTGCGTAAGGATCTTAAAATAGGGGGCAAGGGCCCCTTAAGAATCCCCTTAAGGATTCCTCTAAGGTTTCTGTAAAGGTTCCTTTATGGGTCCCTTCATCTTCTAAGGGGCGGAGACTGTGGGTTCCTGATTTTAAGTCCAAAATCCTACACCCCCCAGGCCATCTCTACTTAGAGGATCATGAAACCTAGGGGGTCCCTTCAAGGGGTCCTTTAGGGGTTTCTGTAGGTAAGTAGGGTTTCAGGGATTTTGGGGGACCTAGTAAGTAGGGTCATACAGTAAGTACTTTGATTAGGGTTATAAGGAGATATGAGCTAGAATTATCATACTTATCTCCCTACTTGCTAAGCCCCCCGATCCTGTAAGTAAGCCAAACACCCAAGATTTGGAACCTTTTGAAGGCAGTGGCATCACAACCCCCATACCCCGCTGTGCCAGAATCCTCCCTACACCCCCCTTCCAAATCCCAGTCCCCTCCCCGGTACATCCGAGACCTAATCCCTAGACCCGAAACCCCTAAACCCTAAACCCCCAAACCCAACACGGTCCGCAGCCCTGAACCTTAAGTCTCTCACCCCCGAAATGTGTGTGTCCCAGGCAGAAGAAGAAAGCCAAGCATACCAAAGGCAAGCTGAAGATTATCAAAGCAGAGACGCTGATCAAGGATGCACGGCTGAGGACCTGAAATTGACTCCAGGGCTTAAGGGCTGTGGGTGTGAGATCATGCCAAGGAGTATCCTTCCGGTGTAAGCCCGACAGAAGTTTAATTAAATCCTACCCCTCAGCCCTGAAATCCTAGACCCTAGACCTAGATCCTAAAGCTTTACCTAAATTGCACCCGTACTGTAGTATACATCCAGCACACGGGTTCTTAAGTGGGAGTCTCCGGTTCACAGGGCACCTCTACCCTAAGGAAACCCGTGAACCCCCAAAGGGCTCCAGGGCTTAGGGTTTAGGATTTAGGGTTTAGGTTCTGGGGTCCCCAGCCAAAACCCTAAACCATAAATCGTGACTAAGACCTCATAAGAAGCCCACAGAAGTGTAGGAGGTTCAGTTCTCCTGAGTTCGGGTCCGGAGGATGGCGCCGGGGTGGTGGATTTTTTGGAAGCTTTCGAGCCTGCCTCGGTTTATTGGCTTAGAGGTTCGGGGTTTTAGGGTTTTGGGCGTAGGGGTTAGCTTTCGGGGTTTAGGGGATGAGGGTGTTGGGGGGTTTAAGGATTTCGGGGTTTAGGGGCGTGCGCTGCTTAGGGTTTAGGGCATGTTGATGCATGGGGCTCGAGCCGTTCCACCACGAGCTTCAAGCAGCCAACCCTAAACCCTAAACCCCAAACCCGAAACCCTAAACCCTAAACCCTAAACCCTAAACCCTAAACCCTAAACCCCACACCCGAAACCCTAAACCCTGAACCCATCAACACTTGCGCCCTAGACCGTGAACCCTAAGCCCTGAACCCTACACCCCGCAAACAGTAGACCTAAACCCTCCTAAACCCTAAGCCCCAAGCCCTGAGTCCTAAACGCAAAACCCCTAAATGGCCCCTAAACCCCCTAAATGGCCCCTAAACCCCCTAAATGGCCCCTAAACCTTAAGCCCTGACCCAGAATCAGCTCCAGCCCCGAAAGTCCTTGAGAGAGACGGGTTTGTGCCCACATGCGCCCTGACCTCGTGCTGAGGCCTGGCAGCGGGGTTTGGGGTTTCGGGGTTTAGGGGTTTAGGGTTTTAGGGTTGGGGTCCTAAGTGATAAAGATGAAGAAGAAGCAGATGGTGGTGATGATGATCTTGATGATGACTCTCAAGGATTTTAAAGGCTTCCCGAAGGATTTGTAAGGGTTTTTCAAGTCTTCAAAAGGTTCTTACAAGGTTTTGTAAGGTCGTTGCATCCACATTGGAGTTTACCTTTGAGGGTGCAGTGTCTGTCACTCAGGGCTTCGCAATGGGACTTCGTTACCCAGAGGAGGTTTTAGGATTGTGGGTTGAGGGTTCGGGGCTCTAGGGGGTTGCGATTTTCGAGGTTTTTTCACAAAAACCGCAAATCCCCATGACCGCAACCCTAAACCCTGAACCTCACTTGCCCAAGCCTGAATTCAGCGCCAGCATCCTGAGCGCAAGACCCCAAAACCCTGCAACCCCCAGCGCCTACAGCTGACAGCTTAAAATCCCAAGAAATCCTGATAGATCCCGAAGATAGAGCCGGAGCGAGTTGGATCCTTATTCAAAAGATCCCCCAAAATGCTCCCGAGACCTGCGAGCTCTAATCGCAAGGCCTTTCTGCGAACGCAGAGTTTTGTGCTTTCAGCTTCCCTCTGCGCGTCGCACTTGTTCGGCCATGGCGTTGCGCGCCCTCGCCCTTGTGGCTCTCTTCCAGGCACCTCTGCCTTAACCTGCGTTGGAACATGGGCGAAGGGCGATGAATGCTGGGGTTCCTTGCCCTACTGCCCTAAACCCTAAAAACCAAACTTGCTTTACTTTGAGGCGGCCATAGAACCAGTGATTTTCCAAGTTTCTGGCCTCTACTCTTGTGGAGCCTGCCAAGCCTTGTGATTTCGCATGAATGTATGTCCAGTACTGCCCCGCACAAAAAGAGGGTCGTGTAGGCTCTAGTGGTCTGCGGTGGATCTGCTGCCGCAACCGAAGTTCACTGCAATAAGTCCTACATCGTTAACCCCGAATCCTAGACCCCGAAGCCTGAACTTAGATCCTGAAGATGCAGCCGTTCAACGTTCCTTCATGGGTTTCGTCTAGTTGATGTACCCCCCCCACTAATCTTGAATCCGTAGGGTAGAGTGGTACACCTGGTAGAGGGTTGATGGCCGATTTATGTAGGTTTTACAAGGGACCGACGATGCCTTCCAAAACCCTATGCACCACCATGTTCGCATGACGCGGGATTCCCGCGCAGATCATGTGAGCCTTCATTATGCCAGGCTTCAAAGGGTTCGGTTCTGTTTGGGGTCGTAGGGGGACCCAGCGCGGCCGGGGCTTATGAGACATCACAGCAGTGGCACTACGAGTGCTGCCAGCCCTCGTTCAAGGGAGGCCAAAGGATGTCTCCCTGACAACTGCTGCAAAAGCTACATACTACCTGCTACTAATACCACTACCTTCATCGCACAAAACTTGAATGCCAACTGCACCGGTGCGAAGTTTGCAAGAACCCAAGCCTTGATGTAAGCAGAAACCTGCCCCTTACATATCCTTCAAGTATGCCGTGTACAACCCCATAGAACCATCTGCAACCTTATAAAACCCTATAAACTCAAAACTTTGGATAGCTCAGCCCGAAACGCCAAACCCCGCAACCTAAACTGACCAAAACCCTACGTACTAACTAAGCCCGAAAAAGCCCCGAAGGGGGCCACCGCGCTCGAGCTCACGGAGAGTAACTGGGATGCCGAGACGGCAGGGCATCTCGGTCACAGGGGTTGCGGGGGTTTTCAACGTTCCATGCGGGTCCCTTTTACGGTTCTTTATCGGATCTACGTGTCACAGGTTTATTGTATGAAGGCTTTAGAGAAGCCAAGGAAGAGTATCCTTCCTTCGGGTTCCTGTTTGGATCTCATGGTGCTACATACCCGAAAAGCCCTAATGATAAACGCGCCTCGATATTGAGAAGAGCCGTACAAGAGTCCCTGAAAAAACCCAAATTCAAGCTGAGGAAGGCGTGCCTAAACCCTAAACGATAAACTCCAAACCCAAAAGAAAAGCCGAGGACCCTTCCCTAAACCCTAAGCCTTAAACTCTAAACCCTAAACCCTAAACCCTAAACCTTAAACCCTCAACCCCAAAACAAAATCTGAGGAAGAGTGTCTTCATCAAGTTCCTTGCCCCTTGGTGAGGCCACTGCAAGAAGCTGAAACCCGACTCCTGGCTTTACCGTCTTCCTTTGGGCTTAGGGTTTAGGGTTT